TTGTCAACGAGTGGTTGCTGTTGACATTTGCGACCACTCGGACTACTTTCGAGTGCTTTTGCCTCTTGTAAAAAGCGAAAATGGTGAAGGTTTTGACTGTTTACTCAGTTCATTTCTGTAAATTTTTATAAATTTCTGTAAATAAATTACGCTTCTTAGAGCAAACAGAGGCACATATCATTTGGATACATGAACGATGTGATGATAATTTTTGGATTTTAGGCGGTGGAAGCGGTATTGGACGAGCTGTTTGCCAACGTTTCGCTCAGAATGGTGCACGCGTTATTGTTGTAGACATTGATGGTCGAAAAGCAAAAGAAACATGTGCAACACTACAAAAAGGTATCTACTTATGTTTTGCTAAAAAATCAAAAAAAATTTTTGCATTTGGGAATTGAACTAGCAATTTTCATCTCCTTGCCACAAGTATCTCTTAACAAACAAGTTGCTGCGGACACACACACAAACACACACACAGATACACAGACACGTACATGCATACACACAGACAACCCCGTGACAATATGCGTTTTGTGCAACCGTTGCATGGCACAAAACGCATAAAAAGTTTAATTTTGCTAGAAATACCAACAAATACTAATAGATTTATGAATTTTTAACATGAATTGTTGCCCACGATCGCGAATGTATCAGCAAAATTCTTACATCGCAGACTTGTAACTTATTTGTTGGTTCTACATGGTTAAAATTCTGAACCCGTGGCTGTTTTAATTTTTTTTTTGTTCGAAAGGCAACCTGACTTTAAAACTAAGTTCAAAATCCAGTTCGAAGAACAACTATTAAGGTTAGAGAAACAACCTGAATATGATGTCACATAATATTTCACAATGGTTTATGGATTTTTGTTAGAAACTACATAAGGAGCAATTGTTCCTCATGCAATTCCGAACAAGAAGCCATAAATCATTATGTGAAATATTGTGATATTTTTAAGGTCGTGATAATGAATTTGAGGCTATAATGTCTCAGGTTACAGTTTTTTTTTTTGAATCGAAGGCTATAAATTTTCGAGAAGCAACTTGAACTTGAGAATCGCAGCTCAAATCGGAAAACAACGTTACGATCCAATTTCTGAAGTCAGAACTTAACCCGGAAAGCAATTTGAATTTGAAGCTGAAGGCTGAGGCAACCTGAATCTGATGCTGAGGCCATAATCCAGTTCGAAAAATAACTGGATTTGGATATCATGCCATGCTTCAAAAATCAAAGAATTTGGATTCGTTTGAAGAGGAACTAGAATTTTTTCCTCAGTCCATAACCCAGTCGGTAGAAGGTCCCATTTTTTTGCCCCGCTGATCCGAATCCCTCATTTCGTAGCGTAAAAAACCTTTAATTCCCGAAATATCGAGCTTGAAGTTTGTTCCTTCTAAGAGTTGGTGCTGCACAAATTTTCAAAAAGTTTTTTCGAAATTTCGCAGTTTTTTTTCAAGTTTTTCAAATTTTTTTCCCCTGAGACAAAAAAATTTTTCTTTGAAGCTTAAAATCTTTTCCTCATTGAAAGAATTCCGCGGGATAAATTTTTTCCCTCAAAAATTTCAGAGAGACCGGATGCACATGCAGCATTCACATGCGATGTATCAAAGCGAGCACAGGTAGAAAAACTCAAAGAGTACTCGCGGGAACGATGGATACGTGCGCCTAACGTGATCGTCAATTGTGCCGGAATAACCCGTGATTCGATTCTCCTGAACATGACCGAAGAGCAG